CGAGACTAGCAAACTGTTTTAATTATTCAGTTATCTAAGCAGATTTAAGTTGTACATCTGTATTTCCATCTGCCATCTCATGAGATCCACTGTGCTAATTACTGAAAGTACTATCAATTGAACTGGCTCAATTCCCGATAGACTTAAGGAGAGTATATTATTCTTTATTACATCCATTTTGAAATCACTGGTGGTCCCTGTAATCTGATTGGCTCCAATTGGTGTGATTTATTCCCAAATCGCACCATTTCTTGCTCTAAATCACATCATTTTACGCTTGACTGAGTTTTTGACACATGACGTCATTCTTTAAGATGTAAAAGCGTTTCAGGTTCCACTTTTTATTTAAAAACCGGCTTAGTACTGCAGGACTAAAATACTTGAATTGACTAAGTCCTGTATTTGGGGCGATTTCAAAATGGATGTGATTAAGTGGTAATTGAACCTTGTGTCGTGCACTTTTGGTCTCAAATCATACTTGTGATTTCTAATTGAACTCGCACTGCGCGTTCGTTCGATTTTGAAATCACGCGTATGTGTCGGAAATCGTGTGTTTACATAATCAAAACCTTTTTAACGCGTTTAAAATTTCGTTGTTTAGTCCGCCGGAAAGGGATAGGCATGGAATCTGTCATCATTAGTAACTGTAACCAATCAAAGGAAACATTCACCGATTGTATATCCTTTGTTCTAAAATACACCACGTGTGTTGATAAAAAACTCGGCACATTGTGAGAGAAAAATATATCCGTTAAAAAATTATATCGTGAGTGACTGATTTTGGCGCGAGTTTATCGGGAAAACCGCTGTGTTGTCAGGAAATTATCTTATTCCCAACACAAAGTGGCACCTCCGACGGGACAGGAACAAAAGAAGGGGAAAACAATCAGATCTGACGCCGGGATTTTACAGTGGAGAAACTGCTCGCGGATCTGAACACAGAATTATAATTGCTTAACTTCACCAAGGATAAGAGCGAAGGAATCATCGCAAAGGGAAACGAGGAAGGTGTGGAACGTCAACTTCAGTCTTTGAGGACTATCGTGACGAGAGTGGAGGAATTTAAGCTTCAAATCGAGCAAACAAAAATCGCAAACGGAGAGCAACTCGATGACGTGTCAAAATGGAGCCTCACAGTTGAGGCCGCGCAAACATCTGCTGATAAGAACGTCGCGTACTTACGAAAGTGGTTAACAGGATGGAAGCAAAAGGAAAGCCTTACAGAAAAGGAGGGAGAATAAGCTCTTTTAGAGAAATCAAGGAAAGATCAGCTTGAATTTGAACGTGCACAACTGGAGATGAGGCTAACATGTGAGGAGCAAATCGGGGAGACAAAAGGAAACCATGCGAAAACCACAGAACCGACGTTGACTCAAGCAGCGAAAACCCCAAAACTTCCTAAGCTTGTCATTACAAAGTTTAGAGGCGAGCTAACAGATTGGCCCCGGTTCTGGAGTCAGTTTGAAACCGAGATCGACAAGGCAGAAATAGCTGTCGTGACGAAGTACTCCTACTTAAAGGAACTCGTAGACCCGAAGATACGAACGGAAATCGACGGTTTGCCCTTTTCATCAGAGGGATACGAGCGCGCGAAGAACATCCTGTCAAGGAAGTATGGCCAAACAAGCGAGGTCGTTAACGCGTACGTGGAAAACATCATGTCTTCTATGCCTACAATTGATGGAACCCAGATGGCCAAAATCCACATTTCTACGAGAAACTTTTTTTCAATGCGCAATCGTTAGAAACAATGGGGAAACTGCGAGATGTGAATGGATACGTGCGGATGACTATAGACAAGCTGCCAGGGATAAGAGAAGATCTTGTGCGAACGGACAATTCTTGGCAAGAGTGGAATTTCCCAAAGTTAGTGGATAACTCCGCAAATGGACAGAAAGAAACCCGATTCAATCTAAGCAAAGTGACAAGCCCTGGCGTGACAAGAAATTTCAAGTCCAACAGCAGACTGATGGCAGAAACCGGGGATGCGTTTCTTGTGAAAACCATGATCACAAATCGGTTGACTGCAAAACGGTTGCAACTGTCGACGATCGCAGGAAAGTACTCAGCAACAAACGCCTCTGTTTCAACTGCACCGGAAGCAAACACAGAGCTGACGATTGCAAGAGCCGTTCCTTGTGCCAGATTTGTCACAGAAGGCATCACACCTCCATCTGCAACAGCAGAATCAGTAACCAGTTAATGACAGCTTCAATGGAAAGACCAACTGTGATTTATCCGGTCGTCGTAGTGGAAGTGCTGGGAGTCAAGTGTCGCGCATTGTTAGACACCGGTGCCGGAAGCTCGTACGCTTCAGCAACGTTACTTGATCGCTTAAAGATCCGCCCTCATCGACGAGAAGTACGACAGATTGAAATGATGATGGGAGTGGTTACTAAGCCTGTGGAGATTTTCAAGGTCCAGAAAAGTTTCCTGAATGGTGATTTCCTCCTCGAAACGGACGTAACCATGGTAAACAGGCAACAGCTTTTATCCCTGGAAAACCCTCGCTACCAGCAGGTCCTGAGAAGGTACGATCATTTAAAGAGTGAAAATGGACGATATGGACACAAAGGATTTCCTTCCAGTGCACCTTATTTTGGGAGTGTGCGACTATACTAAGGTAAAGACTGAAACCGCACCTCTTATCGGAGCCGCAACGAGCCTATCGCCGAGAAAACAAGGTTTGCATGGACCATTATTTCGCCAGGCAAAGAAGTGGATCTGTCTCCAATGTTCCTGACACAAACATCGACGGCAGATTACGACAACTTGTGCAGACTGGACGTACTTGGACTCGCGGATTGTGCAACTGGTGACCAAGACGTTGTATATTCAGAGTTCAAAGAGCAACTTAGACGAGGCGAAGAGGGTTGGTACGAAACTAGCCTTCCATGGAAGGGGAACCACCCACCTCTGCCAAGCAACGAAGCAGGAAGTCTTCGCAGGTTAACTGGCCTCGTAAAGAAGCTCCGCAGTCAAGGAGATAGAGCGTTACGATCAAGTGATCCAAGACCAAATCAAGGCTGGGATCGTCGAGAGAGTTAGTAGACCTCCAACTGGGCAACACGAGTTTTACATTCCTCACAAGGCAGTGGTACGGGACACAGCCGAAACCACCAAGCTTCGAGTAGTTTATGACGCGTCAACACGGGCCTACTCTGGTGCACCCTCGCTAAACGAGTGTCTGAATCCTGGTCCACCTCTTCAGAACAAGCTCTGGAGTGTCCTAGTTCGTTCTCGATTTCATCCAGTTGCAGTCGCAAGATACATCAAGCAAGCTTTCCTCCAAGTCCGTATTAAAGAGCAAGACCGCGATGCGCTAAAATTTCATTGGTTAAAGGACCCAAGCTGTCAAATTGTGGAAACGCTGAGTTTTACTAGAGCCCTTTTCGGCCTCACATCGTCGCCCTTCCTGCTGGGAGGCGTAATTCAACACCTGTTGGAGAGTTGCAGACAAAACTACCCGAAAATTGTCAGCGAGATCGAAAGAAGTTTATACGTAGACGACCTAATCAGCGGCGGCCCTACAAGTGAAAAGGCAAAAGAAATCAAATCAGCTTCTCAGATTGTATTCGCCAAGGGCACCTTCGAGTTGCATAAATGGCATTCGAACGTGAAAGAGATGGCATCAGCCGCTTCCGAACCAGTCTCGATCGAGGAAGAAACGTACGCAAAAGGGCAGTTAAACGTCCCCAGAAGAAAAGGAACTACCCTGCTCGGCTTGCCATGGGACAAGGAAAACGATACTGTCGGCGTGAGTTGAAGATCTAATCACCGGCCGTGATGGCGTGATTCGTGGGGTGAAGCTAAAATCCGGAAAGGTGCATCTGGAGCGCCCAATTCAGCACTTGTATCCTCTGGAGTTGAGCTGTGACAAGTCAGTACAGACCCCACCGGCGACCCTGAATGCAGACGCGCCGGTCTACAGGCCCCGAAGGGATTCTGCTGCAGCAGCTAGATTTCGTATTTAGGATATTAACGATAATGAACAATAAACACATTTCTTGATCGTGACTGATTTTCCAACTGTTTAAGTTCGTGGACATTTGCCCTCTCGAGGCAAATGGGGGGAGGGTGTCGGAAATCGTGTGTTTACATAATCAAAACCTTTTTAACGCGTTTAAAATTTCGTTGTTTAGTCCGCCGGAAAGGGATAGGCATCGAATCTGTCATCATTAGTAACTATAACCAATCAAAGGAAATATTCACCGATTGTATATCCTTTGTTCTAAAATACACCACGTGTGTTGTAAAAAAAAACTCGGCACATTGTGATAGAAAAATATATCTGTTAAAAAATTATATCGTGAGTGACTGATTTTAGCGCGAGTTTATCGGGAAAACCGCTGTGTTGTCAGGAAATTATCTTATTCCCGACATATGATTTCAGCCCAAATTGCACTCCACTAAGTGCAATTAGAACATAGCTAGCAGAGTCGCGCAATCAAATTCATTATACGTAAGCGTGCTCAAAATCCCGATAGTGCACGCTGATAGCGTCAGCAAATCCGACTTCGCCAGAGTTTTTTTTTTCGCGCGAGCGACCATTGCTAGTGCGGGGAAAAATAATACATTTCGCGACAATAATGGATACAAACAGAAACTCGGCCTGCTAGTCCGAAAACGAAGACAATGTTTCGACCTTTTCCCATGGGCTAGAGTTCTTAAATGAGGCAGAAAAAGAGAAAAACAAAGGAAAAGGAGACTCGGCATCAGCGCCGTCACGATTCGCTTCAACTGATATTGTTGTCCGTTTTTCGCGTCGGATTTGATGCACAATTCCACCGGCTATGTTCTAAAACAATTGGTTCATGCTTTCAGCTGTGCACTATCGAGTTATGGAGCACGTGGGAAGTTTGGAGAGCACTCAAGAAGCTAGAGTTGCCCGAGGCGATAGCCGAGGGCAACTCTTACGCTTCTTTCGTGCTCTCGAAACTTCCCGCGTGCTCCATAACTCGATAGTGCACAGCGGAAAGCATGAACCAATTGTTAATTACCATTATGAATCACATTGACTGCACCCGGAGGACCTGTAAACAGCGTGAATACTAAACAAAATTGACAGAATCGTGCCAACATCATTTTAATATTCAGAACGCTACTCTAAATCTTGATTTTCATCGTTTTTCAGAAAAGATTTTGTCCAAAATAGGTCTAGTACATGCCAGGAGATTGACTGGTGACGTGGTGTCTCCCACTGCGGGGAAACATTCAAAAAGTCTCATTCCCAATCAACACCTTACTCCTCCATTTATCATAAAATAATCGAACACAGAGCCATTGCTGAAAATATCCTCTCCCCGTTAAACAACTTATTTTTGAAAGCCAAAGATCGGCTCGTGTATGAAAGATGAAACTTTCCTTTGTATCACGGCCTCTAAATTATCTTCTTGTGGTAAGAGGACCGACAGACAGGGCACACGCGGCGTTTTTCAAGGGAGAATTCTTCAAAAGCCTGCAGACACGTGGAATGGAACACGTGTGAACACGACAGAAGAACAGTGGGTCGTGATGGGGAGTTTTTCCTGTACAGTCCTTGGTCAGTGAGTGGCATGATACAGATCGGACAGTCAGTGACACTTCTACGAACGGCCTGGGAATGAGAATAAACTAACGTTAAACCTGACATCAGCATCTAAATTCTCAATACCGTTCTCTATACATTTCCTTTGGCACTGACGAGTAGAATTCCTTAAAACGTAGACCTCTTAAGTTAGCGATCATTTCCTTTATTCCCCTGATCTTGATGAATGATTCAGGGGTATTACTGTAACGAAAAGTTAGATGCTGGTCACTCTTCTGGTTTGAAGGGTGAACAGAGAGAAGTTAACCAGGAATAACCATAAGAGGCAAAAATGACAAGTATTACGCTCTATCGAGCACGAGAGAGACTGAACACCTTGACTGTTTGAACATACCTGAAGTTGAACTTGATCCCAGTCTTTTTCGGTCATTGTGTCTTCATTGTTTCCGTCCAATTGTCTAGTGAAATAACAAACAATAAAAACGTAATGAAATAAAACTAAAAGCAGTAAAATTAATAACAAACTAACTTTCTGTCGCGTGTTAGAACTCAAAGTAGACTAACTCTTTTTTTTTTTACCTCAATTGGCCGTACTGTCGCAATTGATTGGCCAGTTTGCTGTTGTCGATATACGAGTACAGACAACGCTGCTCGCGTCAACTTGTCACACAATGGTCATTCACTGAAAGAGTCTGTAATGGACTCACGAGGCGCAGACGAGTGAGTTCACAACATTTTGACTATTGTGATGTCAAATATCGTTGTCGATAGGAGTACAAACCACGCTAAACCACTGTCGATTTGTTAAATTGTCCACCAAATTTAACGAATTTCATCTCAAGTTTGAAAGAAGATAAACTTGTGAAAAATTTCGTTAGGAAAGGTGGCCGAGAGGCACGAGGACGAAGGTTGATGACGAGGGCGGGGTTTGTGAGAGGGGCTCCATATCTGCTTACAGGTTCAAATGCGAGCCGGGGGAGGGAAAGAAAGAAATGGGGGTGGGGGTGGATACTTTACAGCTGTGTTTTGTGTATACCTCATTGTGTCACGACTAGCGGCTATTGATTGATCAATCTCTAACAACAGATTATCAACACTCTGGTTACTGGCTTCCATTGATTGAAGGAGACGATCAGTGATATCCTGAAACTGGAACAAAAAGGTTGACGAGACACTGATTGGAAAATATTTACTACTGACTTTTTAAAATCGAATTGATGTAAAATTCTTGCTCCCTCTCGATTTTGATATTTTTCCCTTCACAAAGATAATTAAGAGAAAAATTATATTATGACCTGGAAATGATAAAAAGTAACGAACATTTCCCAACAGGTGAACTAAAATAATTAAAAAATGGCAGAAAAAGACTGCGACTGAAAATAATTTAGCCTTCAGCGAGAATCGAATGCGTGCCTCATAGATACAAGTTGGGCGCCCCTTCCGAAAAAGCTAAGCGACCACAAATCAAGAGCGAGGAAAACTTTTGTGGCTTCTTTGGTCACCGCCTAAAGGATGAATTGGTGAGAATTATCATAAAAGGAGCACTGCTTAACGGGGTCAACCTGTTGATAGCACAATTAAATCAATTTTAGAAACAACAAATAATAGGTTACTACCTTGTCTTCATAAAATTTCTTTCTAAGTTTGGGGTCTTTTGGTGGTACTGTTTGCCTTAACTTCCTGTACCACTGTCGTACAATGTAACCACGCCAGGCAGCCTGTATTCTGATGAGATTGATATTTAGAAACGACAGAGAATGAAGAAGGTTATGTTAAATAAATAAGAAACGTTCTGTAATGAGGAAAATGAGCGAATCAACACAAAGTAATTGAATTTAAAGGAAAAGTAACCTCCAAAAAAGTCTATTTTTTTATTGGCTTTTGATAAGCCAAGGGACTTAAGGTACTCGAAACGTTGAGAGATTTTCAAAGATTAAACTTCTCCTTAAAATAATTATGTCTCCATCGCCCAGAATTCAGCGACATATCCGGGACTTTCATTGAGACGCTAAAACCACAACCGATAGACGGTGCCATTTGGAATAATAATTTTGCTTTTCAGCCTGGCTGCTAAATAGAATTTAGCATTGATCATAATGGCTGCACTGACGCACCGTCTCCATCTGAACCATGAGGTGGATCTTGAACCAAGGAAGTAACCGTTTTTTTTTCTAACATTTGCTTTGAATTCTGATGTGTCATGCGTGATCACGGTGTAAAAGTTCTTTGTAAAGAGGCCAATTCAAGGTGGGCAGACTGCCACTTGACCTTAAGCTTTTGAATAAAAATTTGCACAGAATCCAAAGTCTGAGGTTTAAGTCATTATTTAGTGAGATCAACCAGGTACCTTGTCGCACATTTCTCTCTGTGCTCCTTTGCACCTTCATGGATAATCCTTCTTTGGTACTGTTCTTTTCTACACATGGGACAAGATTTGCGCCCAGAAAACTTTTCAAATGCTTCAAGACAAGTCTAAAAAGTATAAGGTACAGTAAACATCAATCTACTGTTAGTAATTCTTTTAATGATTCATCTCACATTTTTTCAAGTCTGAAGTTAAGTTCACTCATGCATGGCTGACTGGCTTTTCATTGAGTCACAAAATTACTCCTCAAAATAACTTTTCTGGTGTTGACAATTTCCAAAGTTTCTTTGTGAAACACATTTATTTTATGTTAAAATGAATGTCTCCATCCTTTTCAAAGAAATACTCATGAACAGTTAATGCACATGTAACAAACTGATCCTCATATACAGCTTTATATGATTGCGATATTTTCAAAACCTACCCTGTGAAAAACATGACTGCATGACAACAAAACCTACCCTGTGAAAAACATGACTGCATGACAACAAAACCTGAAATTCCAGAAAATGTACATAGTCAATTTTATGCTCAGTTCAACTGTATAAGAGATCACTCAACTTTTCCTAATGAAGTAAAACTCTTATAATGGCCCTAAGTTTTAAGAAAAACAGGCATGGTTAACTTGTGAAGGTTTAAACCCCCAATAGGCTTTAGGGGAAAAGAAGTCAGTATATCATGAGATATTGGGAGTCATTCCAAACTCTACTATCTTAAAACTATGAAAGACTACAATGAACCTTTTAGGAAGATGTAAAGAGAAAATTTTGCTTACAAACTGTTCAGCACTTAGATTCACATGTAGCTTGTCTCAGTTCTTGCTAAACTCATAGACTGAAAAACAGTGTATCTTTCCTATTACCAGTAACTTTATTCCTTCTGATCATAAACAAGTATCAGAAAGTGCCTTAATATTTCTGTGAAAATGTACTTTATTGAAGAGAAACATTTAAATAAGTTTGTCAACATTTATCTGTCTTTGTGATGGCATTAGGTTTTACCTGTGTAGTAACATGCATTACCTGCTGTTGTAAACCAAAGTCTTCTTTGCAGATTACACATGGCTGACATGAATCTTGCCTTTCATTTGATTTCTTTTTAACTTCTTTCCACTCTTTGTCAGTTAGAAGAACTCCTGGAGCCTCAACAAGGCCAAGTTTTTGCGCTAAAAGTTTGTTATACTTTAAAATGTCAATTCAATTTGGAATTCCTTCTGACTCAGTCACAAGTCCTCAGTAATGTAAATGTAGAATTAGCTATTAGCTAGCATTGACATGAAGCCCCTTATTGACAGCATAATCCTATAGAGTTCCACCTTGCTGGGACACTTAGAAAATAACTTCATGGAATGCTTGCTATGGATGACGTGGATGACATGGTGAGTGTAATTCTCAGGTGTGAAGTACAAGTATGATGGCCAGTCCTCCGCGCATTAATGACAAAGCCTGAAGTCAAGATGGCTGAATATGACAGCTAAGTTATTTTTTTTCACATTTTCATGGATCGAGATGAAGTCCAGGTCCATTAAAATGCAAAAAGAGTAAGAGGCTAATATCCAGCCATCTTGACTGAACAAGCTTGGTCAATAACAGATTTATTATATAGCAAAGAGATTTCACCTAGTAAATAAGAATCAGGAATGAATTGAGAGCTGCAAAAACAAAAAAAACAAAAAATTCACACACACACACACACACACACAACTGTGTTCCACATTGTCCTAAAGTTACGAACTTTGTAAATCCACCCCACCCACTTTTATTATTGCCCAAGATCAAGGTGGGCCCATCTCATCAAACATTGGGTACAATTAGAACACAAGATTTGCTTCATATTGCCCACAGGCACTGCCAGCTGTGATCTTACACAGGTTGGAGTCCTTGCCAACAGTACAGACAATAAACTCAACCAGTGTCATAGAGTATTGCTTAAATGAATTAGACACCTGTTGGGGCCAGAAAGGTATAAACAGGAAGCCAAAGTTCACATACTGAGCCTCAATAAACAAGTAAAGATGCAGATACTTTCGCCTGTGTATGTTGTCATCCAAAGCAAAGGGCAAATAGCAAGGCAGGCCAACTGACAAACGGCTAACCCTCAAAACATTAGCTTTTAAACCCTTTACAGTGGCAAATTTACCTTATCAACTCAGTTGATAAAACCAAATTATCTTGAACTAAAACAGGCTCAGTTATAAATCAGGCTAGAAAACTCACATAATTCAGAGGAAGGAAACAAAAAAGCGAGGTCAGTTTGCTTCCAATCAAAAGAAGTGATATTTTTGGGTTAAGAATGCCATTGAAATCCTTACATTTTTCCTAGTAAACAACATAAACAATTTTATATATTTATGCAGGTTGATGATGCAAGCTTGGGTGACCTGTGGTATACATCGATATTCAAACATACCTAAAGTAAGGGGTGGTGGTTTTGGATCGAGAACGTATTCCTTCTTTTCATGATCATCTTTGGCATCACACTTTCCAACAGCCTTAGTTGTCTTCTTTTTAGACGCTGCTGGTAAACTGTGGTTGATTTTCTTCTTCTTGAACGGATCTTGGAGGGACAGGGAACGAGTCATATGGTCTTGAAGAGCAACAGCAGCAAGGGCCATACTTGACTGAAAATGGTTCATAGATACAAGTTGATTCATTCTTAATTAAGCTTTGAAAGTTTGCAGCTGCTGAATAATTTCCTCGACATGCACGTTTACAAATGCAAATATCACCGAAACAAGAACATACCGAATTGCTTCCTGACTTATTTATCGATGGTTTTTGTGGCCTCATGTTTGCCATCATACCAAATCGGTCTTTTTTTACTACATAAAGTCATAGAATCTGGAAAAGAGGATGACAATTTGGCAGGCCACGTCTGTTAACAAGGAATCCATTTTAAAATCGCGCCTGATCGACCGCCTGCTACACAACATGACACAACATAAGGATAAAGCAAATTAGGAACAATACCGCTGTACATTATGTAACGAGCATTCAGCACAATGGAGGAAAAACAGAAAGATAACCCAGAAGAAAATACTGTGTTACCCCTCTTTGCTTCATTCCAAAAATACTTGTCCAACGACCAAGAAATAAGAGAGGTAAGCTTTCTGGAGTCTCGCTGGCCCGGGGAACTTTGATGTTTAACTTTTTTTTCTATGAAAAATTTTGTAAGTTATTGCAATTGAATAATTATTGCGCACGTGCTTAATTATGTAATAAGCTGTCCAATTATATACGCTATGTTTAATCTTCCAGCTTCTTGCCTTAGAAATACTAAGAACTAGCTCTCAGACAATGAAGATTGGTGTGTGGATTTTCAAATTAGCCAGCCCTCATCAGGGGTATAATTAAAAGGGAGTATTAGTTTCTAAAGAAACTGTGGTGCTGTGTTGGTGGGGGTAACAATGTAATTTGGTTTTATCAACTAAGTTGATTATGTAAATTGGCCACTGTAAAGAGTTTAAAACCTGGCGTTTTGAGTGTTAGCCCTGTGTCAAAAAAGCTGATTTCCAGTGGTAAACTACCATGCCTATATCTATCTATGATCTCCTACCGCAGTCTGTTTAGCCTGTGAGCAGGCTTTTGAGTTTGAGTTTTGCCCAACGGCCCCTTTTCAGGGAACACCCACCTTTTACACCATCAGCAGCCCCTTATAGAGAGAGGTATTGAAACCCCTGCTTTAGTTTATATCAGGAATCAGCACGGGTCTTGGGCCTATTAAGGGAGGGGGGAGAGCCTACCACGCCTGTACCATGTTCTCTTGCCTCCCGTACTTTTTGTGCCCCTTTGCCTCCCGACTCTTGACCCTCATTGTACTACTTCATCTTCTGGTTGATAAAAAGGAACAGAAACCTGAGTTTTTGTGAAGGTTTGTCAGGGGAGGGAAGTTAATTTTCTCAAGATGAACAGTATTACAGGCCAGTTTTCACTGACCTGCATGGTTATCACATTTTGACCACGGATTCTAACATCTCACCATAGAAAAGAAAGTCTCAGGCCATTGTGTTATCTAATTACTATTGCAGTTTCAACTGTGTATTAACCTGCATTTAGGAACCATTAAATATATTGGAATCATGATGACATTTAGAAATGAAACCAAAAAGCCAAACTTCCCTCCCTCCCTCCCTCCCCTGTTTTTCCTGAGCTCTTCCCCCCAGTCGCCCTCCTCCTGTCCCCTCCATTGTTAACCCTTTGACCCCTCAAAGTGACCAGCATCTAATTTCTCCTCACTACATCACCTCTGAATCAAACATTGAGGTCAGGAGAATAGAGGAAATAATCCCCAACTAAAGAAGCTCTTGATTGTTAAACAGTTCTCCTTGTCAGCACCTTAGGATTAATGTATGGACAGTATGGAGAATATGCATACTGATGTTAGAGCATAAAGAGATAATATAGGACCAAATGGGGAGAGAGAAACTATATATATATCCAAGAACTTAAGGGTGAGCATTTGATGTTCAAGTTTAATTGATAAACCCATCTCTTGAGTATGGCAAATGTATGTGCCAGCTTTTTCTTTAGTGCTCATTATGTAATTCAGAAACATAACTTTCTATATGGCAGCTGTGAAACTTAGCATTATGCTGCATCTATGCATGTGTTATTCTATGAAGCTAGTTCTAGCATGATCTGCAGACTGACTCATTAAGAGCTATAAAACTTATATGTAAAATAATTAAAAATGTTTCATTTTTAAAACAAACAGTACAGAATGTTATAACATTTGCACAGGTAAACATGTAATGATGAGTGTGAATTCCAACTTTTAAGGGAATCAGAACAGTAACCAGAGAGTTGGAACAGTCTGCAAGAGAAATCCTGGCTGTTTTGCAAGCAGTGCATCAATCCCCAGGTGTTGAAGGTCTCTTAATTTGCTTATTTTATTCAAGAATTGCCAAGATTTTATTTCTTGTGTAGTGAATTAGGCAATCAAAATAGAATTGTTATTTCAACTTTTTTTTGTTAAGTTTAACTCAACAATAGTCTTCATCAAGCATGACAATAGCTTCAGTCTGTAAGATTGACTTAGCCATACATGTATTTTCATCTTCTGCAATAATTATGATTTTTCAAGAAGTGAAAAGGACCTCAATATGGAGGTATATGGTGACTAATTGTTGAACCTTGTTTTACCATAGCCAGTATATTGGCCAACATATTCCTCTAAGTACTACCAGTCGATCTAACAAGCTATATGTTGATGTGGTGCTTGTGTTATGTAATTGTGATCTAATGGTTGTGTAGTAGTGAACAAATTTCTGAAGTGACAGGCAATATCTCAGATAACTAACCTGCATCCTTTTGTTGAAATTCTTTTTACAAACTGAAAAAATGCCTTTAAGGGTTGTAGTCAATGGAGATTGTCGGGTGGGAAAGGGCAAAGGGCTGAGCAAGATGCAAGCTTAAAGAAGAAAGAGAGGAAAAAAAGTGTGGCAGACATGTTATTAACTACTTATTGAGGGAGTTGGGTTGGGCTGTTCTGTTAACAGGCCACTGCCATGGCATATGGACCTCACAATGAGTGGTCCTTACTTTATGTTCTGAAACCAATATTTTCCCCTGTGGCTCTACCAATCAGTCAATGTGTACAAATTATCAGAGGTTGGTATTGTGTGACTGAGGGAAAATAAACTTTACATCCTTGTTTGTACAAACTATGTATTATTTTGTTTCTATTAATCTTATTGTCAGTGTAATGATGCTTATCAAATTAGTTCAGGGAGAAATTTGTCTTAATTTTTTTCTTTCCCTTAGCTGTAAAGAAGATTTGTGCAAAAAGCAGGGAAATGTTGACTGCTGTGAGGTCTGAATATAAAAATCTTGTGGAGAAAATACCTTCCGGTCAGTATTACAGGTCAGTGAGATAACAGTCAATGCCTATGAATTAAAAACTGTACCTTTGGCCTGTGGGAAATATAGAATCAATATCAGCCAGAAAATTTATTAGAGAGGACGGCTGGGATCAGCTGTCACAGCATAAGTGTATTTTGTTTTTACAGACCTGTATTTCTCTAGTGACCGTAATAGAAACAGGCTCACTATGGTACACTGCAGGTAATTTTTTTTTTTTTTGTTTCATCTTGAGAGTCACACAGTATTATCTATTATTATAGTTTTTGATTATTTTTCTAATTATCAGTTTTGATATTGTTATTTCCATTATTTATTGTCTATCTGTCTCTACCATTTTTAAAATGAAGATTTGAGGAGCATAAATAAAGGATTGTTAATTCTGTTGCTGCCGCAGTAGTTTTAGGACAACCCATACCTGATTGTTTCTTTCACCCTCTGACCTTTCACTCTCTGTAGAAGTAAATGTCTTTCATTGTTTTTGTTGCTGTATTGTTCTCCTCAGATATCTTCTCTTTCTTGTTTTTTCCTAATCGTCTTGCGATGATCTTTTTATTTTCCTGAAGAGTCGAAATATCCTTGAGGGAACCTGGATGTTGTTATTGGGCTCAGGGTTGTCGCTAAGCTGCGATGAAAAAGCGGCGATCGCCGGCTGGATTTTGGTCGGCGATCGCTAGGCAAAGCACAACGGGCACTTCCGAGGTTACACACTTACAATCGTTCACCATCTTTGAGCCGCCTCACTTGAAATTCCTCAGCTACAATCCAGTAGGCTTCTTGGAAGCGATACAGAATTCCATTCCGCGGGGTTCTGAAGAAACACTCGTGATTGTTGCATTCAGGCCACAGTGCTTTTTAATATTCTATCTCATTTGATTAGTCAACGGACAATGCCCGGTCAAAATTGGGTACTGACCGGACAAATCCTTGGATTTCCGGACATCTTGTCCGGTCCTTTACCGACTCGTTCAAAGAAATTTTAATTTTTAACTGTTTGATAATCACAACGGACAACAGTAATGTTTCCGAAAGAAAAAAAAAATGAATATAAAAGTAGACAAATTAGTGGTCTAGAGACTCCCGGCAGTCGCAAATTTCCACGATGTCATCAAGTCCTGTCGCGACCGCAAATCATCTTGTATTCCGTTATTTTATTTACTTTATTTAAGTGTTCCCAGTTAATAGAGGGTTTTACCTTTGGCTAGATACCATAATTTACTCTTAAATAAAGTGATTGATTGTTTGATTGATTGAATAATCGGAAACTGAGCACCCTCACGAAGAATAATCTCGCTGCATCGAGAAAACTCCAAGTAGCATTTGTTGCAAAGTGCAAAAAGCGAGCAAAAGGCCCAAAACCTGGAGAATCCGATCATTCTTTTACTCTAACAAAAATTCACAACGGTAGCATTAAAGAAAAGGGCTCCGAGTTGTACTGAAAACAAAAAAAGTCAAGATATATAAAAGAGAGTTTGTTTGGCTGCTTCTGCAGTAAAGAGTAGTAAAAGTATTAACTTGTAATTTTTATTACCAGACCGACTTGGATTCAGTTGTTTTTTAGTTGTAAAAGGATTACTGTGCAATCTGGGTTCACTATCGCAAGAGTTCCGACTGTTAAAATTTGACCGGCCAAAAACGGGTAATGTCCGAGCAAAAGCATGTTTGACCGGACAAAGTGACCGGGCAGTCCTGCCCGTTAGTTATTTGCAGCCTTGACATCTATATATTTTTTTCCCTATATTTTCTTTATTTTCATGTAAAGCGCATTTGATCATGTATATGGAATTTGCGCTATAGAAATTTCAATTATTATTCTTAATTAGTATTTTCGCTTTTATCGACAATAAGAACAATAGTTAAAGAGGGAAGCTCCGATATTAAATCTAACAATGACGTTAGTTAGGCCTTAACAGCGCTCTAAGCTGCGACCGTTTTGGTCGCCAGCGCGAGTGAAAAAAATATTTGGCGACTAAAATTCTGGCGGAAGTCGCCAATTGGCGACCAACAGATTAAAAGGAGAAACTTACTTGAAAAAATTATCATCAATAGCACGAATTTAATCAATAGTACATGAGGTGGCATCACCTGCGTTTCTCTTTTCGCCTCTCGTCGTTCAAAAACTCGACTGCGTAAAAAAATGGCAAATTCGATCGATTTGAAGGGGCAACTGGCAACGTTGTACGGTCTCAGCAGCTTTGTAATGTTGAAATAAATCGTTTTTGCTACTAGACAGTCTCTTCCTTTTCTTTCTCTTACAGNCTCTGAAGCCCTGCCATAGAGCTACAGAAGACCGGTTTATTAGCCAAGACATACTTTGGTTTCATATCTGACCAACTTCCTACATTATGCTTGGATCTGCACTGTCGAAAGCGTCAGGTCTGAAAATAGATAAAGAAAGATATTAACTTTCGAGTTCCATCTTCAATGTTAAAAAATTCAAAAATAAAGAGATTTGCAGGTCTAGAGATTAAATCCTCAAAGGGAAAGACAACCCGTTACACTCTCGTTACAAATTAAAGAGAAATCGTTCCTTATTCGACCACCAAGAAAAAGATTGGGTCATCCTCGGTGTAAAAACCTCACGAGGTTTTCTTTGTTTCATGAGGTATTGTTTTGCTGTACGCTATTGTTTCTAATGTTTTGTCGTCTTTGTTTTACGTCACTCGTGAACTTCACAGGTTTTTACACCGACGATGAGCCAAAAGATTTCTCCTCTCTTTAACACTTTCAATGCAGTGACAGAATTATTTGTCGATGCTGACTTAAAGGTAAACATAAGAAACCTTGAGGTAGCTCATTTATCTTCCCATGAGGAGGTCTATGAAACTCTATACTGATTCCAGTATTATGTGCACCGCTTGTCACATATCCACCGTAGGATATGGCCTCGCTTACCGCATCCGAACACAAAATCTAAAAATGCTGGAGTTCAAAAATCCTCAAGAGATTTCTCGCGCATGGTCCCAACTTACAAACGACTTTTTCTGTACCATTTTTTACTATACCACTCCTATAAGATACGCCAAAGTCTTCTGAAAACAGAGATGTTCCTCAGGCATCGAATTCACGGACAAAAGATTGTTGAATAACCACGGCTCATCTTTCTTTAAGAGGAACAAACGTCATATATGTTTTAATGTCTTCAACACCTTTCTACTAAACATGAAACGATTTAAATCTGCTTTCCTTTAGTTGCGGCGAAAAGTCAAGAATCCTTCTTAAAGAAGAGCTTTATTGGATTTTAATTGCAAGTACTCTTGAGGTGAGGAAAGCTAAAGTTGCGAACTGTACCCTCTTTTAGTTGATAGGCGGATAGGATAATTGTAAATCTACGTCAGTTCTTCGGAAACTGAGAAATTATGCAGAAATCATGACCATTCTTTAGCTTTATATTTCCCACCGGAGTTGAGCTTTTAACATATGTAATTTATTTCGGCTCACAGATGGATAAAACAAATACATATCAATGCAACACCCAACGAGAAAAAAGATAGTGATCGTTAAAAACAGAGAAAATTATGACGTAAAGGGTATCACCTCGATGCAGCACCAAATTCTCTCTGCAGGTGAGACGGATCGAAGCCAATGAATGAAAACAACAAGAACATGGTTGCCTGTTTCATCTTGCTGGGAACTCTATGCATGCGAACAAACTCTTTTTTTTTTTTTTCGAAAATCCGCATTCTTTTCATGAACGGAAAAAACAGCATTAATTATTCCAAAAATGACTGTATCGATATGAGATCTTTAGCTCCAACAAATTTCCCGTGGAAGTTTTCACTTTTAATCATGACCGCAAACACCTTTAGTGCAGAATTTGCCCCAGCCATTTACACCAATTAGGTTCAGCGTTCAGAGAAGTTTCATGAAGTTTCATGAAGTTTCATGGAAATATCATGGACTGAAAGACTTTTATACACGATTCTATAATATAACTCTATGCAAATCCGACAATTATGTAATGAAAATATAAAGACTGATCAGACAGATAACATTTTATAGGTTGAACACCATATTCTCTTTATTACCTTGCGGGGAAATTCATAAGGACAACAAAAGGAGCGCCAATTATATTGTTGAGATTTTATGGGCTAAGATACTGTTTGAAAACAAATCTGTGCAATCAAAAGAACATGAGCAAAATATTATTATTGATAATTTCAGGCTTGAAGAAATGAAAATGATATCTTTGGGAGGATAAACGGATTCAGAGGATGGCAATTTAATGGGTACGAATTAATTTTTATATTCTGCAACATAAATGTAACATGTGATTTGTGAGTATAATTTATAGGCGCGGCTTTCCTCGTATTCTCCCAACCTCCCTCGTGGCTTTATCATGTTCTAGAGCCCGGAAAAACACATTCTACGGCTTAAGTAAATTGACATGGAATAGCCCCTACAATTGCACTACGCCCAAGCTTAAGCTCAAGAATGCTGTAAATCAGCCAAGTTTCTTCTCTACGTTGTTAAGGACCGAAACGAAGGCTTAGTCAAGAAAGGATTTATTATATAAAAATTATATTCACAAAGTAGTTACAGAAATTAATGAATATGCGAGGCTCCTTCTTGTTTTCTTTATTTTGACTTACAAGGAGACATATGTGTGGCTCTGTTCCGGCCAAAACTGCCGGAAAACTATCTTTATATGACTTTCATATATTCACAAACGTTAAACTGTCTTTTATGACCAAAAACAAAGCATTCTGGTTGCGAAATTGTGAATTTAATTATTGAACGGTTACAAGTACAAAATTTCTTTCATTGCGCGTTCGTCGCTGGAAATTTCGAGAAAGCATATTTTACTCTCTGTGGTAGCCAATGAGAACAAAAGGTTCGTCTTATCTGACTCGCTTGAGGGTCCACCACACAAGGAAACATAACGATAGAAGAGAAATGGGATATCGTGATAAAAAGGAAAAAAAAGTGACAATTTTAGCCCCAAAACCATATTGATTGCGAATTTCTGATCATGTATGAAAACAAAAACATCCCCAGCATTACGATTTATCTTTTTGGTTTTTATTTCAAGGCTTGCAAACATCATTCTTGACAGGAACTACGTCATTGCCTTGAACAATTTGAACTGCGAAAACACAGTCATAGTCATATTTTTAGCCGCTTTTGGCAGAAATTCTTTTTCTGAAATGCTTTTTCAACGCCGTGCGTTGATTTAGAGGTGTTTGCTTTTAAATCAACGCACGGCTTTTTAAAGATTAAAGATGTATCTACAATTTGCACCTAAAATGAACGATTTTTACGAAGTAGAAGTATTATCCTTTTGAACTTGAAAACACACCAAATTCGGGCATTTTTATCATGGAAGTCATTTTCCAGAGCGATTTTCTGAAAACCTTTACTAGGCTTGAACAATCAACGTGGGGCAAATAAAAGATTCATCTTTACTCTCACAGAATCCGTTTAAGTTTGAAAATTGGCCAATGGGAACCTTAATCCATTTCACTTTAAAAAGTTGTTGTCGAAATTCCGTTCAAAATGGCGCTTTTTGAGCGAGCGAGCCATTGTCAGAGCTCATTAAATCCCCGATCGCCCAGCAATCTGTATGCGACCGGGAGCTCTTTACAGAGATCACTGAAGCCCCTATCGCTCAGCAATTTGTATGCGATCGGGAACTCTTTTCAGAGCTCGTTGAACCTACAACAACAACAATGACAACAACAACAGCAATTTATTTCGCATTAGGGTGGGGGCTTAGAATGATTAAAAATTACTCAAGAAAAATAAAGAAAAAGAAAAACCTTACATAACTGACACTGCCCGCAAGTAGCACAGGCTAGTCGCGGCGGGCAGTGACAACAATTTGTTAAGTTGACTCTGATGATGACACTTGACTCTGATGATGACTTCCGCACAGGTTGTCGAAACGTCAGTCACTGCCACCGACAACAGTCCTTCTCAGGACTACACTCACCCGGACGATCAGACTA